CTCCATTTGGACAATTCCCTGACACAATAATACCTGGGTATTCAACTGCTTTGAAATTAATTGAATTTGGTACTCAGTGCATTTTGATGTGAAAATTTTGCCCCGGTACTCATTGTTTCTTTGATACTCAACTCACAAGCTAGAACTTGTCTGGGTTGGCTGCCTTGTGACTCACTACATTATTATTATTATGGGAAAAAATTTGTTTGGTACTCATTGTTTTTGGTACTCATCGTGCCTCCCGGTGTTGTGTCCTAGGCTTCTTGAGTCATTAAAACACACGAGTAGTCCCAAAAATCTCTTTTATTGCAACAGCTGTGAATTACGTTCATTCACAGCTGAGTCCCAATTAGTTACAAAAAGTCCTTTGGGAGAAGTCCTTCGGGAGAATCACCAACCTTTTTCTCCCTTGACACTCATTTCCCACCCTCTAGCCAAGGGGTCTCCAACCGTGGCAACTTTAAGACTTGTGGACTTCAAGCAAAGCTGACTGAGGAACTCTGGGAGTTGAAGTCCACAAGTCTTAAAGCTGCCAAGTTTGAAGACCTCTGCTCTAGTCAGATCTGAAGAAGCTTCTTGGATGAGAAACGAAATATCTTCAAAGAATAACAAGAAAGTCCACAAAAACAAACACATCAAAACTTAAGTACTAGTAACAGCTTTTCTACATCGGTAGAATTTGTTTTTGTTTGTTTGTTTTTGTTGTGTAGTGTTTTTTTTTTGCTCTTTTCTATTTTTTTGTACTGTATATTTTAATGTTTGAAAATTTAATAAATATTTTAAAAAAAAAAGAAAAGGAAGTCCAATTGCCTCTTGAAAAAGCACCTTTGGGACAAAGATAAATTAACTAATGAACCACTCTAATATTTAATGGCAGCTAAGCTTTAGAGCTCTCAGGTGACTGTTTTCAATCCTAAAGTGTGCAATTAAAATTTTTGACTGGGATGTTCCCAAAGGTACTATTTTTAAATATCTTAATTAGTAGCAATCCCTTTGCACATGATAGCAATTCTGAGCATAGAGATCTATATGAAAAGAAAGATGTGAAATTATCTGATGTTAACACAAGGTGGAACGTCCTTCTGGATATGGGAAGGAAGGAAGGAAGGAAGGAAGGAAGGAAGGAAGGAAGGAAGGAAGGAAGGAAGGAAGGAGAGGAAGAGAGGAAGAAGAGAGAGAGGGAAGGAAGGAAGGAGAGGAAGGAGAGGAAGGAACAAGAGAGAGAGGGAGGGAGGGGAGGGAAGGAAGGAAGGAAGGAAGGAAGGAAGGAAGGAAGGAAGGAAGGAAGGAAATAATTTGAATATACGGAAGTCTATTATAGAAACTGCCTGTATTTGTCCTTTAAACTTAATGATTTCATACGTAAGTGCATCTAAATTAATTAGCAGAAATGGCTGATCACCACTTCTATCAAATATCAATGAACGACACAGCAGAGTATGTCGATCTTCTGTCTTTGAAAGAGCCCGGGAGCACCTAAAACAGATTTAATAAAATTGTTTCAGGGAAGTTATCCTTTCCAATTCAAGCATCTAAGAAGCTTTTGGATTATAAGAGGGAATATGGGCCATTTTCTCACTGGTTAAATCCTTTACCATTATCCGTTTCTCCAAATCAGATTACTTGATTCATATTGGGGGCATTTTGGCAGTGAAAGAGCTGAACTGGGGTGGGTGGGAAGGGGAGGATTGAACTGTTGCCCACGAGTTTCAAAGGACAATCTGTTGCTAGGATGCTTTGACAAGCAGACAGCAAGCAATAGAGCTAAACAACAGATGATCAGTCAAGTTGACTCAAAATACTTCCTTCTAGACCAGTTTCTGCAACCTTTCCAGCTGGTGGCCTAGCATGGGGTGAGGGTGGAAGAGGGGATGGGTTTATGTGAGGGGAGGCACAGGAGTGGGCTTCAAAATTTTTTTTTTTGCTAGGAAGCCTAGTCGGCCTCCTGCCCCAAGGGGAGGGGGGCGTTTTTGCCCTCCCTGGCTCCAGAGGCTAACTCTAAATTAACACAATCCTTTGGTTACTTCTGTTTTTTGGAACAATTGATCAGATTTATGACTTCTTCAGGTAGAAACAGATAAGTACAGGGCTGTAGGTTTTGATGGGAGTTATTTCTGTGGATGCTTAGCTTGAGTAGAAATTTTATAAGACTGTTCAGAAGTACTGAATGCGCCCAAAAAAACTAATAACCCAACGAAAAATAATAAAAATAAAAAAGCCAGTTAGATTGATGTTGTCAGCTACGTATTATGGAAACAAGAAAAATAAGCAGTAGAATTCACTACGAAAGTAACAGCTCAGCTAAAAGGCCACAATTATTTATCCGAGACCCTATTTTAAAAATACTAACAAAACAAATCAAAGTAAAACAAAATAGTGAAATACATTCCTGGGACCTCCTGAATTTTACATTTTAATTCAGAGTAGGGGGTTAATCCAATCGTACTCATTTCTAATAAATTTCTCCACTGTAGAATCACAATCCCACTGAGAAACACTCAGCTGGAATAATTGGTTGTTAAAAATGAGGATTTAATTTACATCTCTAGAATTCCTCATCCGCACTGCTTCTTCATTCTTGAGTTATCTCTACAGACAAATGGTTAATTTCCCACAGACAGTCAACTCATTTCCTCAAAAACTGGGTGGTTTTTTTTGCTATTTGTGTTGATGATCCAATTACCTTTTTCTTTTAAAAAAATTGCTTATTCTGTCACAAATCTGGAAGAGTTCACATAGTTGTCTGCATGTGATTTAACTAGTTGTTTATATCGGGGATCCCCAACCCTGATATTGTGGTCTGCCGGCCACTGGCCCGCCAGCAACCGAATCAGATGAGGAGGAGGTGTGGAAGTCAGGGCCAGCATCAAGGCAACCTGAGAGCCCCGAGGGGAAAGAAAGAATGGAGCTGTCAGAGAGAGAGAAAGAGGTAGAGCCTGGGCCATCCATCAGCCCTCAGATGGAGACTCAACAGCCCCCAGGTCTGGAGGTGGCTGATGAGGAAGAGGAGGAACAGCTGGGTCCATCTCCCTCAGGGGTGAAATGCCCGATCTGGTAGCGATGGTGGCGGGTGGTTCGGAGAACCGGTAGCAAACATCCCTGCCCTTCCTCCATAGCAACAACAATACAATTACATCAGCCACTTGAACAGCTCCATCTCCATTCGTAATTCCCAGGCCTGCTGATAAAACTAAAATTTTAGGGCCTTTCAGATAAGTAACAGGATGGGGGCCTACTATATCTCAGGTTGAATATGTTCCATAAAGGAGGGGCCACCACCGAGAAGGGCATTCATTATACAATATACTATTTGAATATTCCAAAGAAAGAACTGAGGCTTCGGAGAGGAGCGGCATACAAATTGAATTAATAAATAAATAATAAATAAATAAATAATAATAAATGGAATAAAAAAAACCTTGAATCTCCGGTACACAAAATATCAACATTGCCTACTTATAGATTGACAATTGTAATTGATTCAGTTGAATGTATGTATTTAAAATTGGGGACAAATCCATCTTTTTAGAAATAAACTAGCATCTCCAATGGAAACGCAGTGCTCAGTATATAGTGATAGTTCACCCAACATGACCGTTTCTACAATGGGTCTATTTTGCATGGATGTTAACTTACATATTTATTGTTTATTGGAAAACTCATTTGTATGTTGTTTTGAACTAAATACCAATGATTTGAAGACAGAAAGGAGGAGAAATTAAATGAATACTGCATGTTCTCCAAGACTGGAAACCAGTAACACAAAGTACGGAAACATATGAAGAACAGTTCCAGGAACTGGGTATGTCTAGTTTAATGAAAAGAAGGACTAGGAGGTGACATGATAGCAGTGTTCCAATATCTCAGGGGCTGCCACAAAGAAGAGGGAGTCAAGCTATTCTCCAAAGCACCTGAAGGCAGGACAAGAAGCAACGGATGGAAACATATCATGGAGAGAAGCAACCTAGAACTAAGGAGGAATTTCCTGACAGAACAATTGATCAATGGAAGAGGTTGCCTCTTGAAGTTGAAGGTTTTTAAGAAGAGACTGGTAAGCCACTTATCTGAAATGATGTAGGGCAGTGATGGCTAACCTTTTTGCCGTTGTGTGCCAAAAGCGGGGGGAGCGCAGGGGGTTGCACGCGCGCATGCCCACACCCATAATTCAATGTGCCCCATTTCCCGTGCATGCACGTGCAACCCCCCCCCCGTGCGACCCCTGCTTTTGGCACGCGATGTCACAGTGGGACCAGTAGGCCCATTTTTTGCCCTCCCCAGGCTCCAGAGAGTTTTTTGGAGCCTGGGGAGGGCGAAAATGGCCTTCCTCAGCTCCCGGAGGCCCTCTAGAGGCCAGAAACAGCCCATTTCCTGACTTCCGGTGGGCCCAGAAGATCGTAAATCAGTTGGCCAGCGCGCACATTGACGCTGGAGCTGAGCTAGGGCAACGCTTGCAAGCCCACAAATATGCTCCATAGGTTCACCATCATGGATGTAGAGTCTCCTGTTTGAGCAGGGGATTGGACTAAAAGACCTCCAAGTCCCCACTCTGTCATTCTGTTAATTCGCCATCTATTTTTCATCCATGCCTTTTTGTTTGATCCGTAAAAAAGCATTTTATTGTTTGAAAGCTATAGTGTATATAGGCAATTTGAATTTCCATTTTTGCCTAATCAGCTTAAATGTTTTTAAAATTCATTGGATAAGACTATATACGAAGTACCATTTTTGTTTAGAACTTTAAATACGAACACTTTTGTGGGGCTTTTTCTTCTTTTTAAAATAATTAATGCAGCATGTACAAATAATAATAATAATAATACAAGTTAGACCGCAAGGAGTATTTAAAAAGTAAGTATCCAAAGGAAGGTAAAAGTAGACAGTTTCTGTCTTCAGCATAAAGTGAATTGATAAGATACAAATACAAAAATACAATAAAACTTTAAAATAAATTTGTGTTGCATTTCTTATGCCTTTTAATTATAGTCATCATAAAAACTTACCTATTGAAAATTGGAGGACAGAAGCTGTTGTTGTGTTAAGGCCATTGGTAATCTAAAAAAGAAGAAGAAGAGGGGAGGAGAACTGTTGAATTGACCCACCAAATTCATTTGTTACTATACTTTTATCAGCCAGCAAACACCTAAATTGTTAAATATAATCCAGGGACCTCCAACCTTGGCAACTTTAAGACTTATGGACCTTAACTCCCAGAATTCCTCAGCCAGCATGGGAATTCTGGGAATTGAAGTCCACAAGTCTTAAAAGTTGGCCAAGGTTGGAGACCCTCCTGACATCTATACAACTACAAAAGAACAGGAGCTCCAGCTCTAGATATTTATATAACTTATTCCCTATTCACTTCTTTAGAGCTCCAAATCCCTGTCTGGAATTTAGCCTGAAAGTGAATTGATAGCCAGAAGCAAAGTGATTAGAAATTCCCCAACTGTCACTGAGCAGCTTGGAGAAAATCAATTAGGGATTTTTCAGTCTCTAGGGCACTTAGACACTTATTCCTCCCTTATGTTCATGAAGTTATTCTCCCCTTCACTAAAGTATGGTCTCTTCTGTCTTTCAATGTTAGGACAAGAATGAGAGGCTGTCAGGGTTCCGACGGATGCCCTAATTAAATCATGAGCCTCGAGCCAAGCTTCAAAAGAAATCCAGTTATTTATTAGGAGCAACATGTCGGCACATACCCAAGTGGAGTCCCACGTTCCCAAGTGAAGCCAGCTCTGACCCTACGTAATTTACGCCCCAATTATGACCCTTTCCCCCTCCTTCCCCCAGGATGTGTCATCAATCACATTCACCAACGGAGCAATTTTGCGGGTTGTAGAGGTCACTCCCCTCCAGCCACTGTGGGTAATCCTGAGATATAGTCCTGAGGGAGATAAGTCTGGAATGTGCATCTGTCTTTGGCTGCCATGCCGTTTCGCCGGTTTCCCATCCCACCTGGCCTATGGCAACTTGAAAGTAGGTCAGGGATGCTTTGCGAGTTGACAAGAGATCTTTTGGAGGTCTCCCAAGGATGGAAAGCAGGAAGTGCTAGTCTTCCTGTCTACTCATCCACCTCTCCTAAACAAAAAAACTTCTTTAATCTCTCCTAAATTACAAATCTTGTTCAACTCTCCCTCCTATCAAAGTTTGCATCTTACTGTGGTACCTGACACAAATCAGGTGTCCACTGGAATAACCTCACCCTCACATGGCTAAAAGAAAGGGATGAAGGAATGAATCAATACAAGTAAACATTACTTTTGGAAGGTGGACAATTCAGCTCCACATGATCATTGTCTCCGTCTTTCCCTTTTCGGAACTCCCAATAAGCAAGAAGCTCTCAACTGCGGATGGGAAAATAGTTGAAGGCCAACTCATCCTTGCTTCCATCAGATTTCCTATTCCAAACAATTCAATTCCATGTGATCACTATCTCCATCTTTCTTTTATCCCAACTCCCAACAGTGTCCTCTTTGATCATAAGTAGGGGAGAATCAGAAATTGTGATCTCAGATAGTAGGACATCTCATTGAAGGTCTGGAGTTGGACCTCAGCTACTTCCTGATCGGCAATTAAGAAAAATTATTGCTTCTGTGCAGCACTACAGAGGTATGCTAAATGTGTGTTAAAAAGAGATCTGGTAGTATTTCAACAAGAGCACATCCCTATGCATTTAAGAAACCCATGGAAGAGAGACCCTCGAGAAATGAGAGGGTGCCCAATCTATGCTTCATCCCAAGCCCAAATGACCATGGAGAGTGATGACCAGCAACCACAGAAGAGTGGCTTTCCCACAGCATCTTGTTGCCAACAGAATCCAGGCAGATCTGGGGGTGGAGTCAAAGGAGAGATCAGCCTAGAATCCTTACATAGTCACAAATGAACTAAGTCCAACCTCCCTAATGTCAACTCGTAGAGCATTCCTGGACTGCTCTCGAGTTTCCATAGGCAGGAGGGGAGGAAACTGACAGAGCAGCACAGCAGCAATCAGAAGCACATTCCACGCATACATTTCTCATACCTTTACCAGAGCCAGCCGGAGAGGCGTGTTCTCTATAGCCCGCGAAAGTGCTCTGTTGGAGAATGTGATTTATGACACATCCTGGGGGGGGGGAACAGGGTCATAGTTGGGCCGTAAATTACGGGGGCAGAGCTGACTTCACTTGGGTACGTGCTGACATGTTGCTCCTAATAAATAACTGGATTTCTTTGGAAACTTGGCTCGAGGCTCATGAATTAATTAGGGCATCTGTCGGAACTCTGACAGCAAGTCAGCTCTGCCCCCGTAATTTATGACACAACTATGACCCTGTTTCCCCCCTCCTCCCACGGCGTGTCATAAATCACATTCTCCAAATTCCTTTGAGATTTATCTAATTCCAAACAATTGCTGACTGTTAGTTGAGAAGATTCCTGTGCATAGGTGTTTAGCAATAAAGTGGTTTAATTGGACCTTCGGGTGTGGACCTGGTCTTTTGCACCTGACACTCACGTATGAATTAGATAAAACCTAAAGCAACATCATGAAGACATAGCAAAGTAGCGGTTACTACATATTCATGGGCAGACAGGGAGACATGAGAATGAGTACCTTGTCTCCGTGCGTCCAAAACCGTCTCCTTGCTAGAATTTCCTACAAACAATTTCTAACAAATTCATATCAGTTGTATACGTATAAGTAAGAAATACTTATTGTGAGGAAGCATTTACGAAGTGCAAATAAATTAGGCAAGTGGAACACTGTTTTTATTTAAGCTTTGCTAATAAATTTGAAGTGACATAAAGGCAGATTTAGGCAAACTGGTTTATTTTCTTAAAAAACAAACTGAAGGAGAGAAGATTATATTTAGGAATTGTGATACGGGGGAAAAAAAGGTGTCCTACAAGATTAAAACGTCGTATAAAATGAAACTATCCAAAGCAGGGAGAACTTGCTGTGTTTGGTACTTTTCTTTAACAGATCTGGTACCCTGTTTCCCCCAAAGTAAGACATCCCCTGATAATAAACCCAATCGGGCTTTTGAGCGCATGGCAATAAGGCCAAATGCTTATTTGAGGGTTCAAAAAAATACAAGACAGGGTCTTATTTTCAGGGAAACACGGTATGTGGATCACAACATCATGTTCAGGAGTAACATGAATTCTGCTACTATTTGCTAACTTGTGGTCGCTCCGACATTACGGAGAGACTATTTAAGCACGGGTCATTGAGAACACGAGCAAGGAAATGAGTCAGTATAATTTTGCTCTTCAACAATTTGGCCAAGAGGCAAAAATCCTGGCACCGCGACGGACCCAATTTAAGAATTATTGTCTATTTCATCTGGGCTGGAACATTTTCTGAGCTCTTTTAATTTAGAAGAACCCGGACATTAAATATTGAATGCAAATCACTGCACGACGGCCCTTCCCTCCCAGCCCAGGGCCATGAATTAAAAGTAGTTGTCAAGCCAAGCCACTAAAACTGCCTGGAATAATGTATCTTCAGTTTTGCAATAACCTTGGATGGGAAAATACAGTATTTTTACGATGGTTCCTTAATCTTGCATATTCAGTAAAGATCCCCTTCTCTGGTTTAACTCAAAGCCTTTTCCATATGCCAAGTGAACTCAATGAATGTTGGCTTGTACAGGTAGTCCTTGAATTACGGCCACAATTGAGCCCAAAATTTCTGTTGCTAAAATGAGACAGTTGTTAAGTGAGTTTTGTCCTGTTTTACGAGGCCAGAGTTGCTAAGGGAATCACTGGTTGTTAAGTGAATCTGGTTTCCCCAATGACTTACCTAGGAGGTTGCAAAAGGTGATCACATGACCCCAAAGGTTGCTTCAACAGTCGTAAGTGTGAAAAAATCACTTATCACAAAAATGATAAGTCACTTTTTTCAGTGCCGTGGTAACTTCGAATGGTCACTAAATGAACTGTTGTAAGTCGAGGACTACCTGTACTGATGTAGTCTTCTTAAGTGTGGGAGGTAAAGTCTAAAGTACCAGAAACACATTCATTAAACAGGATGATGTGATCAGCGGTGGGTCTCACATTTGTTACCACCGGTTCGCCATCTGCCCACCCACTTCGCACACGTGTGCACCTTACACGCATGCGCCCGGCCTTCTGTGCATGCACTTTGCTCGCTTGGACGTCTTCCGCACATGTGCCCGGCCTCAAAAATGTGCCTAAATAGGATGACATGGAGCCAGAGAGGGGGGGCAGGGGCGGGCCCACCTGTAATTTCCGCTACCGATTCACCTGAACTGGTCCGAACCGGCTGAATACCACCTCTGGATGTGATTAAGAAATTTAACTAGGTACAATCGGTGGCAGTGTTTCTTGACTCAATTTTAAGATTTGTGGATTTCAGCTCCCAGAATTCATGACTGGCTGGGGAATTCTGGAAGTTGAAGTCCACCCATCTTAAAGGGACCAAAGTTGAAAAAAACTGCACTTACAGTTTCAAAAAAATGTTAAATGATCAATCCTTCTTTCAACTTCCCTCTCCGAGGGAGATGGGAGGTGCAGAAATGCCAACTAATAAATAAAATATAAATCAATAAAGCGAACTTAACAACTGCACCGATTGACTTAACAAGCTCTGGCAAGAAAGATGGTTAAACGGGGCAAAACTCACTCCACGACTCACTTAGCGACAGGAATGTTGGGCTCAATTGTGGGCGTAAGTCGAGGACTACCTGTACTTTCCCTTGCAAGACCCTTCGGGGTTTAAAAGCTGAAGAAGAAAGAAATTTACAAAGAAGGTAGAAATGATTTTTCTATCACAAAATGGACAAAAACGATTTTTATTATTTGTGGGGGGAAAGAAAAATGTATTCAGGACCAAGGAAAGGAAGCAGATCTATAAAACTGTCGGCGTAAAGAGGAATGTAAAATGAACGAGCTTTTACCACCAGGTGGGCTATTCAAAGAGCTGAGACCTCATAAACCAGTCAGATTGGCCAAGACTTACTAGATCTCTTGGCCCGTATGGCTCACAGAAAGTGACAGCACTCCCGTGCATAATGACTCCACACTGGTCTCCAACCTCACAGTTGCTGCATTCAAACCTGCGAGAAAAAGAATCCGAGTGAGTTGGAAACACCACGGAAGAAGGTAGCCGACAGAATAAACAGAGTTGGAAGGGACCTTGTGTTGTGACCCAGGCCCAAGTAGGTAGTAACAGACGCCAACAGTTCCAAAACAAACAGACTTTATTAGAACAGCTGAGAATGAACTCATTCTCAGCGTAGTCCAAACTAAATCAAAACAAACTCTTCATAACACAAATTCTTCAGTCTTATCACCAACCTTGGTATAATTAGGCAAACTGCCAAAGGCTTCTCTTGGCAAAAGTTCAGAAGCAGAAGACCACCGACAAGAGATAAGTGCAGCAAGAATATCAACGTTGTTTTCCGACAAAGAGGCCAAGAGCCGATGCTGGTCTTTTAAGCCTTATGGGAGGGGCCAATTATCTCTTGGCTCTACTCCCTAGTCGTCCTCTCTGCTTTAACTGCTCCTGCCTTCTGGCTGCTCTTCTCATATGTGCACTAGGAACAGCAGACTCGGACAGCAATGAGGCTGGGGAAGAACAGGGGCCAGTCCTGGAGGCTGGGGAAGGCCCGGATGAAGGCTCTGCATCGGAGGCAGAAATGGGGCCAGGGCTATCGGGGAATGATGTGTAGACTCCGGACCCTCCAGAGGCTGACAGTAGAGAGGCAGAGGAATAGGAGGAGCCTTTCCTAATGCACGTATGAGAAGAGCTGCCAGAAGGCAAGAGCAGCTAAAACAAAGAGGACGACTCGGGAGTAAGGCCAAGAGATGATTGGCCCCTCCCATAAGGCTTAAAAGACCAGCAACGGCTCTTGGGCTCTTTGTCGGAAAACAACGTTGATACTCTTGCTGCACTTATCTCTTGTCGGTGTCTTCTGCTTTTGAACTTTTGCCAAGAGAAGCCTTTGGCAGTTTGCCTAATTATACCAAGGTTGGTGATTAGACTGAGGAATTTGTGTTATGAAGAATTTGTTTTAATTTAGTTTGGACTACGCTGAGAATGAGTTAATTGTCAGCTGTTCTAATAAAGTCTGTTTGTTTTGGAACTGTTTACGTCTAATACTACCTACTTGGGCCTGGGTCACAACAGTGTGAAGCACACGGCGCGTGAGTGAAACACGCAATCACCGAACCGGTTGTTAAATTGTGCTTTAGACAATATATTTTACACTTGGTTTGGTTGAAATTAAAGGATTGACTTGATGACCATGATACAAATAGGAGACAAATAGTTTTAACCGGTTGGTTACTAAGCAAAGAGCCTTGGTAGTACAGTGGTCTAAAGCATCCTGTTATTAAGACCAGCTGCCTGCGATTACTGCAGGTTCGAATCTCGCCAGGCTCAAGGTTGACTCAGCCTTCCATCCTTTCAAAGATAGGTAAATTGAGGACACAGTTTGTGGGGGCAATAAGCTGACTTTGTATAAATATACAAAAGGATGAAGGCTATTGCTTAACGCATTGTAAGCCGCCCTGAGTCTCCGGAGAAGGGCGGCATATAAATCAAAATTAAAAAAAAAAAAAAGGAGTTCTACTAACTGTAAGAGGAGTCTGGGAGTGTAATGGACAGAGTGTTAGACATAAACAACAGAGAGATAGGAAGGGAGTCTGTTTCTTGCTTATCTGACAAACAGCAACTCAGTCCAGCTGGCAAAGAAAATATTTCATAACAAAACCCTCCAAGAGATTCCGCCTTAATGAACTCACTAATCAATTAAGTTTGGATACGCTGCTTGTGGTTTTCAAGATCCCCAGATTTTCCCCTAACGCCCGCATTACAGAAACCTTTAATGGCGTTTTGTGTAATCCTTGCTTGCTTGCTTGCTTCCTTCCTTGATCCTCGCCATCTGTAGGAAGCTTGACACGAGCACGATTATCAATGGCTTTTTGCGGCAGGCATTTGAGACAAGAAAGCATATTTCGCTTTCCCCCGAAAGCGTCTGTTAAGTGCATCAGATTCTGGGCTTATGCAGAGATTAAAACCAGCTGAAATGATTGCACAAACAGCTACTAGACACGGGGAAGCTCTACTACAGGAAGCGTTGATGGGTTAATAAAGAGGCACGATGCCGACGCAACAGATGGCACCCAGAGAGATTTGTCAAAGGACTCTCCAAGACTAGGAGGCTGTAAATATGCTGTTATTAAAAACAATGCCCATTAAGGAAACATTTGTTTTCCCAAATCTCAGTGCTATGGAAGAAGACTGTCTCCTGTATTTTAATCAAGAAACTGTTCAAGAAGATCAGAGCGAAGCTGTATAGCCAATGAGCAGCAAAGCTCAGGAAAATTTGAAAATGGGCTAAATCCGTTGGTTAGGTATGGATCAAAATCACCTACCTCCATGCCATTTTTTCCTTCCTTCCTTCCTTCCTTCCTTCCTTCCTTCCTTCCTTCCTTCCTTCCTTCCTTCCTTCCTTCCTTCCTTCCTTCTTCTCTCTCTCCTCCCTCCCTCCCTCCCTCCCTCCCTCCCTTCCTTCCGTCCTTCCTTCCTTCCTCCATCCCTCCCGCCTGCCATGATGGCTCAGTGGTTAGAATGCAGCATTGCAGGCTGACTCTGCCCACAGTCTGGAGTTCGATCCTGACAGGCTCAAGGTTGATTCAGCCTTCCGTCCTTCCGAGGTTGGTAAAATGAGGACTCAGATTGTTGGGGGCAATATGCTGACTCTGTAAACTGCTTAGAGAGGGCTGTAAAGCATTATGAAGCAGTATATACATCCAAGTGCTACTGCTGTTGCTAAGTGCCCTTCCTTCCTTCCTTCCTTCCTTCCTTCCTTCCTTCCTTCCTTCCTTCCTTCCTTCCTTCCTTCTTCCCTCCTCCCTCCCTCCCTCCCTCCCTCCCTCCCTCCCTCCCTTCCTTCTGGGGAGTTTGAGAAGTTTTCTATTCCACAGCAAAATTTCGGGCAGCCTTCTATACTTGTTTCAGCCAAATAAATCTATAAACGCAGCTAGACTTACCACATAGTAGGATTCAGTCCTTGCAAGTGATAAGAATCGAAATCATCCCGTAATATGATGCTGTCACTGTGCATCTCGGCTGAAATGAAAGAGAAAAGAATCTATAGTATATTTAGACAAACTAAATTTGTCCAGTGTGCCTAATATCTCTTATATTTAAATCCTTATGCAATGAGAATGCAGTTCAAAGAGAGAATAGCAGCTCAAGCAGAGGTGGGTTTCAGCAGGTTCTGACCAGTTCTGGAGAACCGGTAGCGGAAATTTTGAGTAGTTCGGAGAACCGGTAGTAAAAATTCTGACTGGCCCTGCCCCCATCTATTCTCTGCCTCCCGAGTCCCAGCTGATCGGGAGGAAATGGGGATTTTGCAATAACCTTCCCCTGGAGTGGGGTGGGAATGGAGATTTTATAGTATCCTTCCCCTGCCATGCCAACCAAGCCATGCCCACCAAGCCATGCCATGCCCACCCAAGCCACGCCCACAGAACCGGTAGTAAAAACTTTTGAATCCCACCATTGAGCTCAGCCACTCAACATTTGTTTCCAATTCTTGGAGAGAAAAAAATTGTATAGCGTTTCCAAAGATGAAAAGATGCTTTAGGAATGTGGAAAGGCAATTTATGCAATTGTCTAATTAATTAATTGACTGCAACTTCTTCAAGTAACTTTTGTTCTTTTCCTGGTGTGCTGCTGGCTGAGGAACTCTAGGAGTTGAAGTCTACAACTCTTAAAGTTGCCAAGGTTGGAGAGCCCTGCTGTAAAACTCTATGGAGCGATATATAAGTCTAAGGGCTGTTGCTCTTGCTATGAACTGATGTTTTAAAACCTTAACATGACTCGTCAATGGTGTCCAATACATAAACCAGTTTGGTGAAGGCTACAAGCCACATGTACTTTGTGGTACGTTGGTTGAATGGAATGCATGAATGGAAACGATGGGGAGTGTTTTTGTTTCATTATTTGCATTCCTCCCCCCCCCCACTCAGTAGTGAAATCCAAAAAATTTTACTACTGGTTCTGTGGGCGTGGCTTGGTGGGTGTGGTGTGGCTTGGTGGGCGTGGCTTGGTGGACGTGGCAGGGGTACTGCAAAATCCCCATTCCCTCCCCACTCCTGGGGGAAGGATATTGCAAAATCTCCATTCCCTCCCCACTCTGGGGCCAACTAGAGGTGGTATTTGCCGGTTCTCTGAACTACTCAAAATTTCCGCTACCGGTTCTCCGAACTGCTCAAAATTTTCACTACCGGTTCTCTGAACTGCTCAAAATTTCCGCTACCGGTTCTCCGAACTGCTCAAAATTTCCGCTATCGGTTCTCCGAACTGCTCAAAATTTCCGCTACCAGTTCTCCAGAACCTGTCAGAACCAGCTGAATTTCACCCCTGCCCCCACTATGCTGCATTGGGACACCTGCCCAGTGGTCAAAAGAATCAACATGACAATCACATGATCAAAATGTTATATAAAAAGAGGACAGGGCTTCCATTACATATAGCCATGCTCACCCTCTTCATTCTTCTACTATAGAGTTTCATGCGCTGTGTATTCTGCTAGAATTTTAACATAGCCCCCTTGGTACAAGACAGGAGCAACTAATAAAAATAGAAGGAAAAATAAACTAGAAAGTTAATCATCTTCTTTCTTCTTTAACAACCCCATAATCCCTTGCGGGATGAAGTCTGGGCAACTGAATGGAGCTGAGGGTTTACTGGCCAGATGCCCTTCTTGTCACCAATGCGGAGTTTTGTTCAGCAGATATATTCTCAGCGTGCCCAGAGAGAGAAATATCTGCCTCTACCTAGGATCGAACTCACAGCCTCCTGATTGTGAGGGCGAGAGCTCCACCTCTAGGCCACCACACCACTCAAACTGGAAAGCTAATATGGTTAAATAAATAAATATGCAGGGAAACTCAAACAATCCACATTTTGCTTATATGAAAGAATATCTTAGATCTGATTTGTTGAATCAAATCAGGATAAGCACAGCAGAGTGAACGGTTTCTGTGTTTCAAGAAATCTATCACCTTTGGAAGTTTGTACAGACTTATTTAGTTCAAACACGGGACTGTTCCTGGACAAAAATCTATCTAGGGGTTAGTTAGTTAGTTAGTTTATTAAACTTCTATACCACCCTTCTCCCGAAGGACTCAGGGCGGTGTACAGCCATATTAAAGCACACATGAACTCACAAAATTTAAAAACAATTTAAAACGAATATATAACATTTGGCCCACAAAGTTAAAAATGACAAAATGGCTTGATGGAGCACAACAATCCATCACCACCGTACCACAGAAACTCCTGCAGAACTTCTGACCTCCCATGAGATGTGAGTTGGCTCGTCTTATTATCTCGGAAATTGTTCCTGAAACCCAGCAATAAATATTTCAATCTCATTTTAACAGAGGGGTAAACCAGGGGTGAAATCCACTTCCCTTCGCTGCCGGTTCGCGAAGGGGAGCTCGCGCGCAACACCTCTGCGCGTGCACAGAGTGTCAAAAACGGGACGTGATGACGTCCGGATGGGTGTGTGGAGCCTCCAGCCAGCGTTATTTCACCACTGGTGTAAACAGAACTATACGCCGTTCTACTTTTCGAAAACCCGAGTTCTGCAATATTACAGAATATTTCCATCGTAGCCAACAACATGCTCAAATACATTGGAGTTGTAAGCCTGATTGTGGTTTTGCACGCCGAGGGGCCGATGCTAAGTTTTCTGCCTCGCCTACATGGTCAGGAAACCCCTGCCAAAAATGAAACAGGGCCAAAGTCATAAACAAATGAGCGCAAACATATTTGCGAGAGTCAGAGAGCCATCTGCTAGCTTCAATCTGTTCTCTCTTTTGCTAAGCATTTAGGGGGACGCACAACAGGCTGGAAAAGGCTCAGTTATGATTTCCAGTGCAATCTGGGATTAATCTAGAAATACAGTAATAACCCTCCCGCGGCTTTTTCAAGCTCCTTTTATGCACCTGAAGCGAAGAGATTTGAGGGTTTATAAAAGTGGGATGAAGCCTACTGGAACGCACATTCGTGCAATTATTTAATATAGTTTTCTTTCCATTCTTTTTGACTTATAACCGAACCTATGGCAGGCATGCCCGAAGTGGCATGCGAAGCTGTGTCGCCTGGCATGTGCGGCCTTGCCTATTTGTCTTCCAGGTTTCTGGCGCAGGGGTAAAATGCACCCAGTTCGGACTGGATCGCCCGATCCGGTAGCGATCGTAGCGGGTGGTTCGGAGAACCGGTAGTGATCCTGGCGTGAGGCTTCGCCCACCCGCCCGGTTGTCATTACTTCCTGGTTTTAACCAGGTTTTAACTTCCTGGTTTTAACCAGGAAGTAATGTGTTTTGTACCCTCTGTACATGCAGGGGTACATGCCAGAACCGGTAGTTAAAAATGCTTTAAAAAGTAAAATAAAAAAAGTTCCGACATCGCTCAGGTGATCGTCGGAACTTTTTTTTTTTTTTTACTTTTTAGGCATTTTTTTTTTTATTACCAGCTTGGGCGAATAGGTAGTGTTATTGAGCAGAGTACCCTTTGAGTAAACACATGAAAAGCGACTGGGAGTGGTTGTGAACAATCACAGTCAACATACAAACACACTGAGTTGTGGTAGTCTTTTACTTTTTAGAAAAAAGTAAAGCAAAGTCCAAAAACAATTCAAGTCATGCACAGATAAGACGAGAGTTAAAAGATCAATTCAGGGATATTCCAAGTACAAAGTCTTCTTACCAGTTGTTGTCAAACACAATAAAACAGTTCTTCTTGAGTTTCAAAACAGGAACAAGTTCAGTATTAAAACATTCAATAAATAGTAGAAAGCAACATGTAGCTATGATCAAACAGTGATCATGCAGAGAGATCAGGTAGAGAGTTACAGCAAATAAGCAGGTAAAATGGTGTAGTATCCACACAAGCCATGATCCTGACTTCCCTTAAGTACATTGGCTACAGAGCTTAGCCAATCAGGATACAGAATGATGCAATACAGTCTTAAAGCAATATAATACCTTTCTGACTGCAAACATACATTGTTGGTTTATATATTGCCTGACCAACTAGTCAGACAAATAACCATTTCCTAACAGGTAGTAAAGAAACGCTTTTAAAAGGTTAAAAAAAAGGCTCAGAGGATCACAGCTGTGGCGCACGATTGTCGGAACCTTTTTTCTACGGGGGTGGGGTGGGGGTCCATTTTTGCTCCCAGCAGGAAAGAAAAAGGAGAGGAAGGAAGGACTACAAACCTGGCATTAGAGGATAATCCAGGGCTGGAAGAGACCTGGAGGTCATCTAGTCCAACCCTGCTCCAGCAGGACATTCTTAGTGAGTTTCTGTCTTTTGATCCCCAAGTCACATGGTTACATAGCAATGCCCATTCAGTCACATGATCCCCACCAAGCCACGCCCACAGAACCGGTAGGAAAGTAATTTAGATTTCACTACTGTTCTGGCACGCATGCGCGTGAGATGATCAACTATCCTTCCCATGCGCCGCAGTGCTGAAACGCCGGCCAGCTGATTGTTGGGTGCGCATGCATGCCAGAACCCGGAAGTTCGGCTTTTCCGGAGCGCGGCTCCGATGAGCGCTTGCGCACGATGTTTCCGCGTGACCTTTTTGGCACAAGGTTCGCCATCACTGACCTAAGAACTCACAGACTCAATTTATAATATCTTACCTAATAAAATATTTGGAAAATACAGGTAGTCCTCGATTTACAGTGCAAGCACCATTGAGCCCAAAATTTCTGTTGTTAAGCGAGACATTTGTTAAGTGAATTTTGCACCGTTCTCCGACCTTTCCTGCCAGGGTTCTTCAGTGAATCATTCCAGTTGTTAAGTTAGTAACACGGTTTGTTAAGTGAATCTGACTTGACCTATTGACTTTGCTCGTCAGAAGGTCGCAAAAGAGGATCATGTGATTTTGGGACACAGCAACGATCATAAATATGAGTCAGTTGACAAGCGTCTCAATTTTGATCACATGACCATGGGGCCGCTGCAAAGGTTGTAACTGTGGAAAATGGTCATAAGTCACTTTTTTCAGTGCCATTGCAACTTTGAGTGGTCACTAAATGAACTGATATAAGTAGAGGATTACCTGTATTGATCTCTTTTACATGCAACAACTGTTATTAGATCAGTACGAAGTAGTTTCTCTGAATATGGCCAAATTCTGTTATGAATGATTTGCAAATTGTATGCAAAATCAGGCAAACTCTTAAGTGCCTGCTGATGATTCTACTACCAATCGCAATGTATTATTGTGTCTGTCTCTTATTTTTATTTTTTTACTATTTTTTTAAAAAAATACTTTTATTTCTAACACTGCTCTGTGACCATAAATAAAAATGTATTGATTTGACCTAGGTGGATATTTTCAAATGGGATATTATTTTAAAAATGCAATCATTCAAACATTCCAAACCAGATACCCAGAAAAGCCAAAAACATTAATTTATTGACCTACCTAAAAGAGGATGGAAAGGAGCTTCTGTTGGACCTGCAAAAGAAGAACAAAAAGAAAATAAATATATATATATATATATTTCTCCACAGTAGTCTTTGGCTGTAGCCAACTTTGAACATTACCAATTAAAATGTTGGAAGAGAGAGGCAAGAGAGCTTTTTTTAAAAAAATGGAAAAGTGTAAATATAAGTAGTATCTTAATTTAAAGAAGATGGTCGTTTTGCATAAAGTTGGCCCATGTTAATACCCATTTTAGGCTGTTCAAGGATCCAGATTTGAAGGAAGGAAGGTGATACAGAGATAGTTTAACAGAGTTGGAAGGGACCTTGTAGGTCATCTAGTCCACCCCACCCCACCCCAAGCAGGAGACCGTTCACCATTTCTGACAGATGGCAGTCCAGTCTCTTCTTGAAAGCTTCCAGGGATGAAGCTCCCACAACTTCTGAAGACAACTTCTGTTCCACTTGGTTGATTGTTCTCACTGTCTGAAAAATCCTCCTTATTTCCAGGTTGAATCTCTCCTTGATCAGTTTCCATCCATTATTCCTTGTCTGGCCTTCGGGTGCTGTAGAAAATAGCTTTGACCCCCTCCTCTCTGTGGCAGCCCTTCAAATATTGGAAGACTGCTATCCTGTCTCCCCTGGTCCTTCTCTTCACTAGACTAGCCATGCCCAGTTCCTGCAACCGTTCTTCATATGTTTTAGTCTCCAGTCCACTAATCCTCTTGGTTGCTCTTCTCTGCACTCTTTCTAGAATCTCAACATCTTTTTTTATAGCATGGTGACCAAAACTAGATGATTTGAGATCCATCTGGATATAAAAAGCTCCTGGTGTTATTTTTTTTTTAAATCAGGGTTTAAATCAGGGTGTAGGGTTTCCTGCCTGGGCAGGGGGTTGGACTAGAAGACCTCCAAGGTGCCTTCCAACTCTGTTATTCTATTCTATTCTCTATTCTATCACACCTGTCTTTTCTTGGGATTGTAAAGCTGCCAACATGCAACTCCAGAAGAAGACACAGCTACATTAAAGCGTTGACTGCAGGTAGTATGACAATTCAGGTAGTCCTCAACTTACGAGCACAATTGATTGAGCCCAAAATTTATGTTGCTAAGTGAGACAATTAAGTGAGTTTTGCCCCATTGTACCTTTCTTGCCACCGTTGTTAAGTGAATCGCTGCTGTTGTTGAGTTAGTAAGACGGTTGTTAAGTGAACCTAGCTTCCCCATTGCTTGTCAGAAGGTCGCAAACGGGGATCACATCAATGGTGGGTTGCTACCGGTTCGCCCCGGATCGAGCAAACTGGTAGCGGCGAGAGGCTCCACCCACCTGCCCGGAAGTCTCTGAGCATGTGCAGAAGCAGCGCGCACGCGCACAAGCACACGCAAGTCCTCGAGCGAACAGGTAGCGGTGGGATTTGAAACCGACTACTGGATCACATGACCCTGGATCACTGCAACCGTCATAAATGTGAGTCAGTTGTCAAGCATCCGAATGTAAATCACATTCGGACCATGGGGATGCTGCAACAGTCATAAGTGTGAAAAACTGCTATCAGGCACTTTTTAAAGTGCTGTTGTAACTTTGAATGGTCACTAAATGAATGCCTGTAAGTCAAGGACTACTTCAGTGGTGGGTTGCTCCTGGTTCAGACCGGTTCGCAAGAACCGGTAGTAAAACCAGTGGGAGGTCCCGCCCACTGCCTGGGATGTCATCATCGGTGATCCTGTTGCGAGCCAGTGGTAAAGGTAAGTAGAACCCACTAATGGTGAAATCTAAAATTTGTTACTACCGGTTCTGTGGGCGTGGCTTGGTGGGGGGGGTAATGTGACCGGGTGGGTGTGGCCAATTTTTTTTTTTTAACTTTTAAAACCATTTTTTCTACAACCTCTTCGGTGAAGCTGAGTTGCCTGATCGGCAAAGACTTTTTTTTTCTTTTAAATGCCTCTGACGATCAGGCAACTCAGCTTGGATCGTCAGAGGCATTTAAAAGAAAAAAAAGTTTTTTTTCTTTTAAAAGCCTTTGACGATCCCAGCTGAGCCGCGCGATCATCAGAGGCTTTTTTTTTTCTTTTAAAAAAAGAAAAAGAGGTTGTAGAAAAAATGCTTTTAAAAGTAAAAAAAAAAAGCCTCTGATGATTGTGTGGCTTAGCTGGGCAATGGTGGGGGGGGGCAGGGATTTTTGCTACCTGTTCTCCGAACCACCCGCCTCCATCACTACCGGATTGGGCAATCCGGTCCGAACCGGGAGCATTTCACCCCCGGAGACCACCTCTGGACTACTTGTGTCTCCTTCAACTCCAAATCATTTGAATTCACTAAAGTCCCTAAAAGGCCAAATAGTCTCCATCTGACTTCCATCATTACTAAGTGTTTTGGAATGAAATTATTTCATACATCCAGTCATAATTGTGAAACAGTCTTGGGATTTCCTTGGGCCCTAGATTATTTGAACTGCAATTGTTCCACCTGTTAGGATACGTGGTGGAAATATCTGGCTGGATTGCTTTTTGCTTTACAGGTTGTCCTCCATTTGCAACAGTTCGTTTAGTGAGGATTTGGAGTTACAACGGCACCGGAAAAAAGTGACTTGTGACTTTTTTCACACTTTTTCAGACCACTGCAGCATCCCCACGTAATCAAAATTCGGACATTTGGCAACTGGTTCATATTTATGACGGTTACATGTCCCCGGGGTCATGCGATCCCTTTTGTGCTATTCTGGCAAGGGAAGTCCATGGGGAATCCAGATTCACTTAACAACCATGTTACTAATTTAAGAACCGCAATGATTCACTTAACAACTGTGGCAGGAAAGGTCATAAAATAGGGAAAACTCACTTAACAAATGTTAACAAACAGAGCTTTTGGGCTCAATTGTGAAGTTGAAGACTGTATTTTTTTCCACCCATTTCGTTGGGATTTTTATATATTTTATATATTTTTTACAGCGGAAAAAAATATGTCCTCTAGAAGTCACGGCTACATTTTGGTTGAAATAAATTATTTGTGAGATTGAACAGCACGTATCAAAAGTTAAGTTTTTAACTTCTTGGTCATAAGACTGAATGCTAAAGTTACTTCATTTCTCAAGTTTTTTTTAATGCATCTGAAAAACCTGACAATTTTTTTGCCTCGAGTATCTTGTACTCATTTCAAATTCTAATTCCTCATCTCAGAAATTATAAAAGGAACTACGAAGATACCATTAAACGGGTGATGAACATACTTTCATATCCCTCATAATAGTTTCTTTATTGCAAGCTATATTTTATTGCGGTAAGCTGCAGTTTTGACCTTCATATATTTTAAATAAAGTCCCAAAATGTCACACAGCAAGAATATTATATAAAATTGATGTTTTCTGGTATTAAAAAACAGTGGGCAGGTTTTTTCTAAATACATTTTTAATCCATTTTTCACAGTACTGCAGGTTCAAGTAAGAATTTTACCAGTTCAAAAAAAACCCAACACTTATTTTAAATCCAACTCTGGTCTGGGAAAACTGAGTGGAAGTTTAAATTTTAGTTTGACATGGTCGTAAAGAACCCTAACCTTCATTTCAGGGGTGAAATGCTACCGGTTTGCACCGGTTCACATGAACCGGTAGTCATAAAAGCTACAGATTCACCCGAACCGGTATTTCCAACGATCAGCTGTGCCACGCGATTTATATTCGCTAGGAAGCAGGAAATCCTGCTTTCTAGCAAATCTAAATCGCGCGGCACAGCTGTTCCTCCCCCTCGCTGTTCTACTTACCTTCAAAAGGCTCCTTTTTCTGCGTGAATCATGCATTGGTGCTCACTGCATGTATGCACATGCACAGTATGCGTTTGGCATGCACTGTGCATGTGCATAGCATGTGTTTGGTACACATCATGCATGCACAGGCAGCGAACCAGTGGCAATCTGCGGAGGATTTCACCACTGCTTCATTTACTTACTTTTTGGAAAAAAAATGAATTAAACCACATAATAAGATCTTGGAAAAAGAGAAGGTGAGAAAGTCTGAATTCTCAAGTTAGAACAATTAGACTTCCTTTCTCTGGGAGCTCCAGGACCAACCCTTCTCATCTGATGTCCTTGCCTCAGCCATCTCAACAATCTTCTTAAATTTGAACTAAACCTGTCCCCTGCAATGGCCAACTTGTTCTATATTAGAAGTTAGAATTCTTTATTGGCCAAGTGTGATTGGACACACAAGAGATTTGTCTCCGGTGCATAAGCTCTCAGTGTACAGACAAGCAACGTGGTCATACATAGTCATCGTAAAAATACATTTATCGTAAATCATAAGATACAACACTTAGTGATAGTCATAGGATACTAAATAAGCAATCAACATAAATTGTACTGGGATACTAAATAAAGCAATATAAACCTTGGATACAAGCAACAAAGTTATAGTCACAAAAAGATAAGGAGATAGGAAAAATGAGAAGAATAATAGTAATACAGCCTTACTAGATAGGTAGACAATGTGGTGGGAATTAGTTGTTTAGTAGAGTGTTGGCATGGGGGAAAAATTGTCCTTGTGTCTAGTTGTTCTAGCATGCAGTGCCTTATAGTGTTATTTTGAGGGTAGGAATTGAAACAGTTCATGTCCAGGATGCGAGGGGTCTGTAAATATTTTCACAGCCCTCTTTTTGACTCGTGCAGTATACAGGTCCTCAATGGAAGGCCGGTTGGTAGCCGTTGTTTTTTCTTCAGTTCTAACTAGCTAATGTAAGATAACTGGTGGCTCAGCAGACTGATAGCATTGTGATTAACACCAGCTGTCTGCAATTACTGTAAGTTCGAATCTCAAGGTTCTCAACCAGGCTCAAGGTTGACTCAGCCTTCCATCCTTTCTAAGGCAGGTAAATTGAGGACCCAGTTTGTGGGGGCAATAAGCTGACTTTGTATAAATATACAAAAGTATGAAGGCTATTGCTTAGCGCATTGTAAGCCGCCCTGAGTCTCCGGAGAAGGGCGGTATATAAATCAAATTAAAAAAAAAAAACTAGCGGTATTGTATTGTATTGTATTGTGTATTGTATTGTATTGTATTGTATTGTATTGTATTGTGTATTGTGTTGTATTGTATTGTATTGTATTGTATTATATTGTGTATTGTATTGTATTGTATTGTATTGTATTGTATTGTATTGTATTACAGTATCTTATGTTATGTTATTTTATTTTATGTTATATTATGTTGTTATGTTAACTATATAATATGGAAGGCTATACCATATTGGTGTCATTTGTGTGGGCTTAATTTCTTTTCTTAGGGTCAAACCCCTGAGTCTTCAGCTTTTGAGATAGATTTAGTAATAAGTGCTATATCATCAGTGAATAGCAATAATAGAGAAACTAAACCATCTTTCTCTTTCTTAAACAAACATGGATCAGCTTTACCAACTACAAAACCCATAGCTACTAACTCATTGACAATGCATTTATTCCACTCATAATCTGACTGCTTTAAGCCATTAAGACTTTTCTCCAGTCTCCAGCAATCAGTCTTCCCATCAGTTTTCAAACCTAGTGGCTTCTTCCTATAGATCGTATGTTGTAATGGCGCATGCAGATATGCAGTTTCAACATCTATATGGTTTATCCTGTATCTATTCTTAGTTGCCCATACTATTGCTGCTCGCAACGTAGTCGCCCTCAGACTCGGTGCAATCAACTTGGAAGATCTCCAATGGTTAAAAGTTTCTTTCATGGGAACGTTTGCGTTAATACTGAAAAAATATGTCATTATTATGACTTCCGTAACAAGGGATCCACAATGGAGATTGTGACACATGCCTGCAGGGTTTGTCTGCTGTCGTTCTCCCTTATGAAAAGAACAATTTTCCAAGCACATGGAATAGTTCCCATAAAGCTTCTTCTTTCATAAATAAGAACGGGAAAGATGCTTCATGTTTGCCTAAGTCTTTGTTAAAACTACCACATGCATCTCTTTGCGAGCTGGGGGTCAATAGTCACCATTCTTCGTAGCCTTTTCCTTTTGTTTTTTGTTCTTTTTTTCCCCCTAGTTTAATAAAGGCTAAATCCCCCAAGGAATTCATGCTTGGTTTGCTCAGTGCTTAAATCAAAATCTAAACAGAACAAAAATCAATGCTTATTAAAGATGAACGGATGCAATTATTCTTGGCTATGCTTCTATTCATTTCTCTGGACACAAGCCTTTGTAATATTTGACTAAATAATTCTAAACTATCCTACCCAACACCCACCTATAAAGGAATTTATAATAAAACTTTGGATGTGACAGAAGTAGCTTTTTCTTGGTTTCCTTTTAATCAGAATTTTGGAGTTTGTTTGAAATACTGATGCAATTTGTTTCTATAATTATATATTTATAATTATATAATAATATATTATTATATAATTTATAATTATATAATAATATATTATTATATAATTATATAATTATAATGATACACATTATTATACACAATGTTAAGCATTGTGTTTCTAATGATACGCAATACTTAACACACAATAGATAAAACTTTTTGTTCCGGATATTTCTACGCCCATCCCAGTAAAAACAACAATTGGGAGGCTGCTTCTTCTTGACCATCTTAAAAAAATTTCAATTAATACAAGTTAAAATTACAGAAAAATAAATGAATACTTACTTCCTTGTTCACACAACTGCTGGGCTAAGGCATCCTTGAATATAATTTGACCTCTGTGAGTGGCTGTTGCCCTAGAAACAGAAAGAAATATATATATAAAAAAATAAATCCGCATAACTAAACTGCAGAACAAAAATACCTTTTTAAGGAAAGAAACACCATCTATACCAATATCTCCCAACCTAGACAACTTGGAGACATATGGACTTCCAGAATTCTTAGCGATGGCCATTTTGACTGGGAATTCTGGGAATTGAAGTCAACACATCTCAAAATTGCCCAAAATTGGGAAACATTAGTTATAAACACTAAAGCAGTTCAAAGACAAGTGGAGCGTAGTTCTTGTTGAGAGAATTTGTCCTGTACCATTAAAAAAAAATAACCCTTTGAAGGAAATGTCTGAGTATATCTTCTGCTTTCTTAAAACTGAAGAAGTGGTTGGGATGTAACCAGTGATGGGATGGATCCAGCCGGTTCGCACCACTTCGGGAGAACCGGTTGTTAACTTTCTGAGCAGTTCGGAAAACTGGTTGTTGGAAGAAATCATTAGGGCAGAGAACCGGTTGTTAAATTACTTGAATCCCACCACTGGATGTAACCATTGTCAAAAGATGGTTGGTTAGCTTTCTTGTTTATTCCCTTCTTTGTAAGTAGCCAAGAGTCCAAATTTTATGTAGAGGTACTCTGTACAGGTAGTCCTCCACTTATAAAAATTCACTTAGTGACAGTTCAAAGTTACAAAAGCACCCAAAAAGTGGCTTACAACCGTTTTTGACACTTATGACCGTTGCAGCATCCCCATGGTCACGTGATCAAAATCCGGATGCTGGGCACCTGACCCATAGTTATGACGGTTGCTGTATCTCAGGGTCACGGGATCCCCTTTTGCGGCCTTCGGACAAGCAAAGTCAACGAGGAAGCCAGGTTCCCATAGCAACCGTGGTCCTAACTTAACAACGGCAATGATCTTCTAGATCTGGACAAGAAGATCTTTGAGTTTCCTACCAGCCCTATAGATTCTAGGTTCTATCTTTAGATAACTCCTGCTGAAATGACAATCTTCGCTGGTAAAAGATAATCGCGCCCCGATGTAGAGAGGGAAAGAAAAGTGAGAGATGTTGAAGAGATGGCCTCCTCAGGCTGCTGTGGAGTTTTCATTGGCCCCATTCCACTGAAACATGTCGACATACGGAGATATTTGAGGGATGTGATCCTTGTTATGAACACACAGTTTTTATGAGGGACGTAAGGGCTCTCTCGAGACATTGGGGTTTTCGTCTCTTTAAGAGCAAAGGCCGGAAGAACCAAAAATGGAATTTTGGGGGCTACAGGGCAGACAGTATGTCTAAGGGAAGGTAAACATTGCATTTCCCACAATACCGAGAGGCGTCTTGCGTGTAGTTTTTTTTTTAGCCACAGAAAGGAGCTTGGTTGACCCCAGATGCATGGATTCAACTGGCAAAAGTCTTTGGTGTCAGCATGGAGGGGAGAAGGACAGAATGAAAAAAATAAGGGGTATCTTTTCATCCTGCTAGGGGTGGATTGCCGGGGGTTCGCAGGGGTTCGGGAGAACCTCTAGCTAAGATTCTGTGTAGTTTGGAGAACCTTCAAATCCCACTCCTGGCTGGCCCATCCAACTCTGCCCCTCCCAGGAGTCCCCACACGGCCCATTTTGGATGCAGGTAAGTGCAGGGCGCATGCGGAAGCTCGGCTCGGGCCAAAAAGAGGCCTACCGGAAGTTCGGGAACGCCAGAAACGGGCCTCCAGAGGGCCTCCGGAGCCTGGGGAGGCCGTTTTCACCCTCCTGGAGGCTTGAGGAAAGCCTGCAGAGCCCAGGGAGGGCAAAAATGGTCCCCCACCCCGTCATGCTGCAGGAGGTCGACTAGGCCACGCCCACCATGGCCACACCCACCCAGCAACCGGGCAGAGAACCCCTTGCTAAAATTTTTGAAGCCCACCCCTGCATCCTGCTCATATTCTACTCCAATCTTCAGTCTTGTCGTCGGTACCCAAGAAGAGCTGGATGGATGCTGTCGAAGAATTTCGAGTGAAATTCATCCTGAATTTCCTCCGTTAGTCACTTTTTCAACCGGTCTAATGCTTGGTTTTAAAAGAAGAGATTTCGCAGATGGCCGTCACTTGCTTGACCGCATCTCAAAGCTGGAGCTCAAGAATGCTAAAACATAAAAAATTAATGATGTGTTGGTCTGAGTCAGAAAGGGGATTGCTCTGAATCAGAAAAGGAAGCTGCAGCTTCCTAATTCATTAACTTAATTATAAACCTTATGTGCTCTCGGTCAGTGAGGAAAGCAGCTGGTTTAAGAGATATGAGTAAGAAGACGCTTAGATTCCCATCATATTTCCAAGCCAAGGAAGTAGGGAGGGGTGGGCTGCAGATCCTTTAGCAACGGGTTCGCTGCCCTGCTGCTGTGTGTGCGTGGCCATGGTGGGCGTGGCCTAGTCGTCCACCTGCACCACAGCAGGGGGGCGTTTTTTTGCCCTCCCCAGGCTCCGGAGGCTTTCCTTGAGCCTCCGGGAGGGCGAAAACTGCTTCACCCGGGGTCCGGAGGCCCTCTGGAGGCTGGAAACAGGCGCCTTTCCAGACTTCCAGAAACACCGGTAGGCCCGTTTTTTGCCCTCCCAGACCCTCCGTGCACCCCTGCATTTACCTGGAATGATAAACGGGCCGTGTGGAGACTCCTGGGAGGGATGGGGTGAGGTGGGGGGGCAGGTTGGGCGTGGCCAGCCAGAGGTGGCATTTGGGGGTTCACTGAACCCTGCCGATCCTTGGCTAGAGGATCGCCCGAACCCTGCCGAACCCCCAGGAGCCCACCCCTGGAAGTAGGTACTTGACACATCAGGGGCTGTGACTCCCGGGCCTTGAGCCAAATCTGGCATTTATCGGACCACCGATAAATTGCTGAACTAGCTCATTCATCATCTGAACTAACTAGAGACATCTAAGTTGCCAGTTGGTTCTGCTACTGGACCAACTGGGCATTAATAACCTGGGATTGTTAAGATAGTTTCTTGAGGATGTCCAATTCTTACTTGGTTATGACGTTCGCGACACATCTGCTTCGATGTAACAAAGCTACAAGTCAAATGTACTCGAGAATAAAGTTTATGGTATGTGGAAATGGAGCCAGTATGTTTTTCAGGACTTTGTGCATTACAGTTAGCCCTCGATTTACAACAGTTCACTCAGTGATGGTTCAAAGTTATGACGAAAAAAAGTGACTTATAACCATTTTTCACACTTACGACCTTTGTAGCATCCCCATGATCAGCGGTGGGTTTCCAATATTGTTACCACTGGTTCGCCCCGCGTGCGCATGCTCGCTTTTCGCACATGCGCCCGGCCTTCCGCACACGCGCTTTGCTCATGCATGCGCCATTTGCACAGGCGCCTGGCCTCGAAAACATACCTAAATAGGACGGCATAGAACCGGGCAGATGAACAGGTGGGCGGGTCCACCCATGATCTCTGCTACCGGTTCGCCTGAACTGGTATGAACCGGCTGAATACCACCTCTGCCCATGATCAGGTGATCAATATTCAGATGCTTGGCAACTGGTTCATACTTACGACTGTTGCAATGTCCCGGGGTCATGTGATCCTCTTTTGCGAAGCAAAATCAGTGAAGGAGCCAAATTCACTTAACAACTGTGTTACTAATTTACCAACTGCGCTTAGCAACTGTGGCAGGAAACATCGTAAAATGGGGCAAAACATAACAAGTGTCTCGCCCAACAACAGAAATTTTGGGCTCAGCTGTGATTGGAAGTTGAGGACTATCTGTATAAATGGCCACATATAATTTGAGAATGTTTCCTTAGGAAGTGTCAAGGGATCTGGGATGATCTCAGCATACCTGAAGCAGTTAGATGGTTAGACTCTATCGAATGATATTGAATGATAACATCTATCCTATTACGGTTCTACGGTGTCGGATTACGGTGATTTTATCATGGGTTTACCTTAATTTAATATTTTATCTCATATATTGTACTGCCCACATACTACATACACACACACATATACATACACACACACATTCATACTATGCATGTATATATGTATGTATATACAGCAGAGGTGGGTTTCAGCAGGGTCTGGCCAGTTCCGGAGAACCGGTAGCGGAAATTTTGAGTAGTTCGGAGAACCGGTAGTAAAAATTCTGACTGGCCCCGCCCCCAATCTATTCTCTGCCTCCCAAGTCCCAGCTGATTGGGAGGAAATGGGGATTTTGCAGTAACCTTCCCCTGGTGTGGGGTGGGAATGGAGATTTTACAGTATCCTTCCCATGCCACGTCCACCAAGCCACGCCCACCAAGCCACACCCACAGAACTGGTAGTAATAAATTTTGACTCCCACCACTGATATACAGGTAGTCCTCAACGTACAATCACAGTTAAGCCAAAGTAAAATTAAAACTAATTGTATTAGTTTTAACTAATAAGAGCGAAGCTTTTTAGCCTGTTTTTCTATGTATCGCTCCTCCTTATTTATTTTTTGATGGTCTGGATATTTGAATGCTTTTTTTTTTCTTTTCTTCTTTCTTTCTGCTAGTTAATGACCCCAATAAAGTTATTTGAATTATAAATGGCCCTATAAGTACGAGGACAGCGAGCAAAACCTCTTGTGTTTTTGCTACTCGTAGCGAAGCTTAGTCAGCCTTTGATAAATTTAGTCAACTACAAGGAACAACGGACTGAGAAATTGCGGCAGTAAATCAAGAAAAAAGGAATGTTTATTTATAAAATCAGATTAAAGGAAACCTTTCCAGAGAATGAAATATATGAATGAGCCAAGAAAATGATTTCGCCCCCCCCGCCCACTTCCTTGAAATGCAGTAGATAGAAAGTGCACCTCCAGCTACTACAGCATTGCTATAATTGGAAGTTTAATCATTTGAGGATAAATTCAGTTCAATTTTCCTTTGTGAAGAAGAAAATAGTTTTATTACCGACAATACAAAAATAGATGTAATTATTCTGGGTGATTTAGCTGTAAAATATCCTGGGAGGAATCACGTGGAGAATAGAAAGGATGGATCATATTTCATA